TGGGCTCCCTGGCCTGATTGCTCCAAGGCCACCTCAGCTCCTGGCAACCAGCACCCCCTGGCCAGCCCCAGAGGCACCATTCGCCTGGGGAGCTTGTAGCCAGGGCTGCTGCAACAAACAGCTGTGCAAGCTTTTGGGAGGCAGAGATGCAAGAGGGCATCAGAGGAGGGAGGGAAGGAACAAGGGACAGAGGCCAGTGTTGCCTGTGGTACCCCTGACCTTCCTTCAAAGCACCCCAGAGTGTCATGGCACACTGGATGACAACCACTGCCTCAAAGGGGTCTTAGTTTTCAGAGCCTGCCTTAGCAGGCAGATTTTGGGTGCTGTTAAATGCAACGGATACAGACACATAAGAGCCCCACCGGAGCATAGAATCATAGAACTACAGAGTTGGAAGGTCTCCAGAGGGTCATCTAGTCCAACCCCCTATGATGCAGAAAGATCAAAGTACTATTTGGTCCATCAGAACCCCCCCACCACATGGTTTCCTACACTGGCCAATCAGATAGCACCAAACCACATTTGGCCCTTTATTGCCCTTTGGAGAGGTCTGTTTGGAGCTATCCTTTTTTGCTTTCACAGCACTAAATTTAAATTGGTGCCCTCAGGAAACTTGACCCCCTCACTGCTCACCCTTATTTCCAGATCCCTTATGAATAAATGTAAAAGCATTGGGGGACCCTATTGATTATACTCCATCATGTGAACCTATCCTGTTTGCTCTCCTTTAAGCAGTTTCCACCAGCCCATAAGAGGGATTCTCTTATCTCATGACAGCTATACTTGCACAGGAATCTTTGAAGCAGGACTTCAGAAGGGGTTTCAAGCATCTCATAAACATTGACTACTGGATCACCCCAATCCAGTAGCCAATCCCAACTGGCTTGATGTGTAATGAGTGATTGAGTGGACTGGTGCCCAGATAAGAGATCGAGAGTGAAGGGGCTGGGATGGTACATTCCTGCTAAAGAAATATAATTTCTCCTAATCCATAGATGCTTCTACTGGGTGTGTAGGGTGCATGCATGGGTGGAAGAATCTCTACAGAACTTACTGAACAACAGGTTAGTGCTGCTGGCTGTTGGTTGCTGAGATGGACTTACTTGGAAGGAGAGGCTGAATGCTAAAAGAAAAGAGGGTTCTATGTGAACACAACTGCAGAACCTTTCTGGTCAAGGATGTGATGCAGTAATTCAGGGCATCTGATCTCCACAAGTCTCAGGGCCCATAGTAGCTTCTGTGTATATTTCAGCCTTTGATTTGCAGCACTATTGTTCCAAGGGCTCAGGATGGAGATGTTTAAAACACAGTACTTGGATGAATAATAAAACTGAACTCTGATTGATTGATTGATTGATTGATTGATTGATGTCACAATACGTATTTGAAATATTTACATAGTATTACATATTCATTATATTTGTAAAGTCACATTACCCCATTTCATTATGTACATTTAGTCATTTCTTATTTGCTTCTTATTTCTTGCCCTGTGTCTTCCCTCCACCCATGTGTGACTTCCTTGTTTTTATTTTATAACTTTATTATTGTGATTGTATTTTTGTATCTTAATTAAACATACATTCTTGTATATCTGTTTAACTTAACTTTGTGAAATCAATCTATACATATCAGAAAATTTTTGTTGGAGCATCTTTTGGTCATGTATTCTTCTACAGACTTCCATTTCTGTTTGAGATTTTGGTTAGATTGCATTTTTGCTAATTCAATCATTAAAAAAAAATTATGTTGCCAATCTGTCACTGATGGTACTTCTTCTGATTTCTAATTTTTAGCAACCAATAACCTTGCGGCGGCCATTATATATAAAAAAATTCTCTTCATGAACTCTCATCATACTACCCTGTTCCTGGCCATCAAAGTCTTATACCACATTCAGGAAGTGCTCAGATAATAGCAATTATCAGTGGGAAGGAATTCCACAGATCAGTGGCATTCTTCTGCACAGGGAAAAGCTTACAAGTCCTGTGTTGTTCCATTATTTGCAAAGCAGCTACAGGTACTCTCAGGTTTAGGGGGGGCAGTTGACCATTTCGCCCTTCTCTTGACAGCCATCGGTCCGCTCAAAATTGCTACTCTAAGGCTGATTCCAGCCAGCAGGTAGAAAAATGCTGTGTCCCCACACCATCTCCTTCAGCTTGGGTGGGATGATATTGATAGAACAATCTGCTTCCCCCAACTTAAGTTGCATGTGCCCCCAAGCACATTTTTCATTCACCCTGGAGTTTTTAAAAAGTCAGTGGAGAAAAGGGAAGCAGCAGAATGGAGAGGGGAAGTGACTGGCAGGGTACTTCTCTCCCTCTTTCTGATAGAATCAGAGAATTGTAGATGCAATGCCATTCACTGGGGGAACAACCGCAGGGTAGTGATGAAGCAGGATATCAAATCCAAACTCCTCCTCCTCCTCCTCCTCTTCTTCTTCTTCTTCTGGACTAGAGAGCCTCTTGGTGTGCTTCAGCAGGACTCCTCTTATTTCTCCTGTGTAGAAGACAGGTGTATAGACAGACTGTGGTATAATTAGTTTGGACTTTAGACCAGGGGGTCACCAAACTGATTTGTGGCGCTCCAATGGCTGCCCACAAGCTTCATGCAGAGGCTGCATGGTGTGTTTGTGAATTTGTGGTTGAAGACAAGTGATGTTGCATCCATTGTATTAAATATTAATATGGATTTTAATTGTTTGTTTACTGCTTCTTTTATTTATTGTATTTCAGTTTTAATTCTGTGGAATTCAATCGGTAATACAACACCATACCACAGAAGATAAAAGAAGCCGTGAAGTGCAATGAGAAAACATACAGCACAGCGCATAACAATTGCTACATCAGGCAGAAAATTATTAAGTGGTCCACCAAGACCTTCAGCAGTTTTCAAGTGGCCCATGCAAGGGAAAAAATGGGAACCAATGGTATACATTCTACACCTTCAGCTGCCACCCATTTTTCCTTGCCTTGCATACCTGAGGCACTTTGCCATACACCCACCCACACCCATATCAGACACTTCAAACCACGCAAAGATGTTTGGGCAGTGGCCATAGCTCAGTGATAGAACACCTGCTTTTCTGGAGCACAAATTTTCATTCCAGATGAAGAATTGCAGGTCACTGGGCAGGGAAAGACCTCTGAGCAGGCAAGCCTGCAATGGATGGACTAGTGGTTTGCCTGAGCTTAAAGCTGCCTTATATGTTCATTTGATATAAGACAAATGAGGGATGGAGGAAGGCTAACTCAGCAGGCAGAGCTGGTGCCACATGGAACTGCAATAAAATAAAAGCTCTGGCTTGCTTGAGACAGGTTGAATGGCTGCGAATCTGTTATCACCTCAATAACATGAAGGACCACAGCCGTTTTCTCCTTCAAGGTCACTCCAGGAGGCCTGGAAAAGATTGAGAGCAAACAAGAAAGCAATGTACAGTCTTGCATTTGTGTTACCGCAAGGTCTGCCTATATATAAGAAAAGGTTAACATATAGCTTTATAAACTCATGCAAGTGCTTGACACTTCCTTGGAAGCTTTCAATGAATTTGCAGTTACAAATAAACAATTCCCCCATTTTTGGAGGTGTGCTGAAGTCACTGATGAATTCAAAGCATCTCCTATTGAGGATCTTTTGAGGGGCATTGCCTACTTTGGCAAATCCGGGACCGAGAAGTAAACTCCATTGATGATATTTGGCTACCATTGCTCATGCAGGCTTTTTGTGGGTATGAATCTTGAGGGGCATTGACTTGGCTGTATTGTCCCTGACTGCCAGTCTCATAATGCCCTTATACAGATCTGTGGCGCGACCACAATTGGAATACCGTGTGCCGTTCTGGTTTGCCTCCCCTCAAAAAGGGCTGGGAGAAGTTCAGAAAAGGGCAACCAAGATGATCAAGGGGAAAGTTGCAGCATTTGGGACTACTTGGTTCAGAGACAAGGCAAGTAACAGGTGACATGATAGAAATGGGTAAAAGTAAGTGTGCATGGAAAAATCTTTTCTCCCTCCCCTATAACACTGGAACTCATGGACCTCCAATGAAACTGAATCTTTGAAGATTTCATACAGATAAAAGAAAGTAATTCCTCACACAGCGCATAGTTAAAGTACAGAACTTGCTCCCACAGGAGGCAGTGATGGCTACCAACTTAGATGGCATTAAAAGAGGGTTAGATAACTTCATTGGGAATAAGGCTATCAGTGGGCGGCTACTAGTCACAATGACTATGCTCTGTCTCCACAGTCAGAGGCAATTATACATCTGAATATTGCTGGAAACTGCAGAGGGGGAGAGTGCTCTTGTGCTCAGGTCTTGCCTGAGGATTTCTCACAGGCATCTGGTTGGCCACTGTGAGAACAAGAGGCTGGAATAGATGGGCCATTCGGGCCATTTGCCAGATCCAGCAGGCTCTTCTTATCTTCCAAGGTTGGTTAGAGTGTGGTGCTGACAATGCCAAAGTTGCAGGTTTGATCCCCGTAAGGGACAGCTGCATATTCTTACATTGCAGGGAGCTGGACAAGATGATCTCCAAAGGTCCCTTCCAACTCTATGGTTCCATGAGATATCCATGAGAAGTCCTGGACTGGAACTGGTTGTGGCACACAGGTAGACCATATGCAGAAGGGCCCGGGTTCAATCCTCAACATCTCCAGGTAGGGTGGAGAGAGACAGCTGACAGAAACCCTGGAGAGCTAGTGTCAGTCACTGTGGACAATAATGGCCTGACTCAGTGTAAGGCAGCTTCCTAGGTTGCTGAGGCACAGAAGTGATAGCAACCAAAGGTGGGCAGAAGACCAGTACAGTCAAACCTCGGTTCTCAAACACCTCCGTTTTGGAGTGTTTCGGCTCCCGAACGCGGAAAACCCGGAAGTAAATGCTCCAGTTTTCAAACGTTTTTCGGAACCCAAACGTCTGATGCGGCTTCCACTTGAGTGCGATAAGCTCTTGCAACCAATCGGAAGCCACACCTCGGTTGTCGAACGTTTCAGAAGCCGAACGGGCTTCCAGAACGGATTGCGTTTGACAACCGAGGTTTGACTGTAGCATGGATACATTGGGGGCTTAGAACTGGAAAGCAGTGTCAGAACATTGTGTACAGATATAGTGACATAATTGGAACATGGAGGAATGTGTTTGCATTTGGCAGGGGGGAGAGAGCTCCTCAGTTTCCCCCTCAGAAATGAAGCCCTTGCTCCCCTTCCTCCCCCAGCGAATAATTCAACACCGAGCCTGCCCAAGCGCTTGTTTGCTGCAGTTCCGTAAATCATGCTCGTTTCTGTGCGTCCATGTTTCCTTTGCCGTTTACACTCACTCCAGCAAGAGCCACCTTGCTTTTGTCTTGTGGAATGCGGGCCTAGCGCTGGACTGACACCATTATTCACCTGCTCCAGAGCTGAGGAGAATGGGCTTTGCTAGCAACCACCAGGAGCTAATGATTTAAATGATTACTCAAAGCGGACAAGCGGTAACTATTGACATTAAACAAGGTGCTTCCATTGTTTGGGGTGTTTTATTTTGGGTTTGGTTCCCCCTCCCCTCCCCTCCTCACCCAGTCTCTTCACAAGGTAGCTTGCCTGCAGGGACAACTCCACAGTATGGCTACACAAGGAAATGGCTGTCAGGAGATGTGTCAACAAAAAGCCATCAATAAAGTGAGTCCTAGAAGCTTTGCGCAAGGAAGTCTGTTGATATATTTCTAAAAGTTCTTAACTGTGCAGGCAAGAGCTCGTTCATATAAAGGAGGGCTGGGGAGCCATCTGTCTGGGCCCTCAACACGTCCCCCAGGCCTCTCACGCCCCTTCTCACCAGACTGCAACCCTCACTAGCCTGCCCAGCCATACATATCCAGAGTTGTTTCCATGCAACCACAGTGCCAAGCTTTCAAGTTAAATCCACGGTGGATCCAGAGTAACGATGTTTTTTTCCTCCTCTGAACAGTAACATGGTTGTGTGGAGTGTACGTTTGACATGTAGGATCCTGCTCAGACTTGGACTGGCCATTTGACAGTTCTGGCAAATGCCACATAGGCTGGTGAACACAGTATTCAGACGGATCATGGAGGAGACTGCTCTCTCTCTCTCTCTCTCTCTCTCTCTGTGTGTGTGTGTGTGTGTGTGAACACAGTCCTTGAGTTTATTTCTTGAATTTTAAAAGGGCTTCTTTCTTTTCTTTGGCTGGCGTTTTGGCAAATAGTGGAAGGAGGGAGAAATTCTCACTAACCCATCAGCCACACAGCATGGAAATAATAATATTTAGCGTATATTATGCTAACTGTGACAGTGCTTACACAAAGGGGTGGGGAAGTTGAAGTCTCACAGAAAGTGCAGAGCTGGAAGGGATGTACTCCACAAAGCCCAATACAGGACTTGCTTCCCAATTACCTTGTTAAACTGAAGCACCTCATTCATTAAGCACAAGGCCAGGTTCAAGGTTCTTGTATTAATTTAAAAGGCCCTTTGCAACCTGGGTCCACAATACCTCAAGGGCTGCCTGATCCCTATATCCCTGCCTGATCACTGGGTCTTCCGGGGAGTCACAGTTACTGGTCGCCCACAGCTCAGATGCTTGGCTCCTATCCACCAGGAGCCTGATTCAGGAAGATGCCCCATGGATCCCCATGGAACTGTATCTCAGAGAAATGCCTTTTTCCACTGTGGAGAAAGATGTTGAAGGGCAAACCTCAAGCCACACACATTACAGTCAGAAGGAGAACATACATGGGACAGTTTCCTTCTCTTTTTTTATGCTAGTTGTCTATGGAATCTTGTAGTCCAACTCCTTATCTACCTCCTGTCTAAGGCACGCACAACAAACAACAGTTTTGAGAGGCACGGCCCTAAGGGGCAAAACTGAGGGAAACAAAGAGCGGCAGATCTAAACTTTATTTGGACACTGGAGGTGTCAAAGAAGAAATGAGCAACTGCTTCCTCTCTTGTGTCAATCTTCGCTTACTGTGCCTTTTATTTTTGGTAGGCAAATTGCGTTTCCCCCTGACTTTCTGAGACCAGGCATTTCCTGATGTTTCCTTTTCTTCAGGGGAAAGCAGGGGTTTTGTGTTTTGTTTGGTTTTTTTTGTTTTGCCTTGATGCCCATTTCATGGAATGTTTCCTTCCCCTTTACCCACCTTTCTTTTTCTGCAAACAGGGATTTTCTGTGCCAACAATAACTTCCAGCTCCTCACTTTGCCAGCTCCTTGTCCTTGTGGTACAAAGGCCCCAAGTGCTTTGTGTGTCTATGTAGTCTCCCCCCCTCCGTTCCCCCCACAACACACCATTCCGCTTCAAATCAGTTCCTTGTGTGCCTTATGTGCACATATTATGGGCCAGTCTCAGGGCAGCATCGTCTAAAGAAGCCGACTGAAGCTCACCGGTTCCTTTCACTCCCTTTTTAAAGTAAAAAGATACTTTAGGAAAACAGGAAGAAAGGAATCCCTTTGACCAGAAATATTCCTGAGAATGTCGAGATGTAATTGACTCTGCCTTTGCTATGTTTCCAAAATTATAATTCATTTCTTAAAGAGTTGATTCACATGATCCTTTGGGAATGTTTCAAACTGGGTCAAAATCTTGCTCATCCATTTGGAACGAGAGTCCATCTACCTTATTTCAAGCAATCTGCTGCTGGGTAAGGCCAGGAGAGGGCTGTGTTTTGAGTTGCTCCCTGCCCCAACTTTCACCCCCCCCACAAGAAACTACAGTAAGCCCCCAATTTATGTGGGGGCTACGTTCCAGGGATCATGCCTAAACCCAATATCATACTTGGTCAAAACCCATTGGGTTCAATGGTGGGTAGGACTGTCAAAGTCATTTTCTCAGAAACCCCACCACTTTAAAAATAAAACAAAACATTTTTTTACCAGGTGCATAAAGCTGAATGTGCTCATTAAATGCATGTAAGCTGCAAGCTTATTGTATTCCTCTTCAAACTGGAATTGGATTTTTAAAACTGTAACATGTGTAACCTCTGCAGAATAGCACAACGCCCACCTAAAGGGATCAAAGTTGTAACTCTGAGATACCATCTTGCTGTTAGCCCTAAAGACTTGCTCCCTGCCTTGCAGGCCTTTTCTACCTGGTCAGGGAAGGTGGGACTGTGGCTGACTCCAGCTCCAAAAACTGAGGCTGCTGAACAGACTTTTGGGCTGGGGTATTGCTGGTGGGGTTTTGTTGGGTTCCCCCCACCCCTACCCCCCTGCTTTTTGTTGTTGTTGATTTTTTTGTATCTTTATTTTTAAATCTTATAATGATTTGTGTGGAAATTGTTCGATTATTGTTGTGTACTTGTTGATGTGTTTTGTTTGTTGTTTCTGGCTACTTTCATTATGCTTGTAATAATGTAAACATTTTCTCATTGTAAGCTGCCTTGAGCATGGTTTTAACTATGGCAAGGCGGCATACAAATTAAATGATGATGGTGATGATGATGATATGCCCAAGCCAAGGAGGTTGCATGTGGACCTTCCGTTGAGAATGGTTTGCTGAAGCCATCCTGAGGATGCAGTTTTGGAGTGCTGGGCAAACGTGTTGTGGCTTTTCTTACATCCCATCAACACGGGTGTAAATTAAAACAGGACCCACCTGCATTTTGAACAGTAGGGCTCAGACCCAGGATATGAGCATAATATTAAAACAGGCAGTGCTTTTAATACAAGTGCTTTGGATACAAGTGAGGGAGAAAATTGGCTCAGTTTCCTTTTGAAGGTGACTCTACCTCATCGACCCTTCCTGAAAGAGAACATCAACTGAAACACATTCATCCTCCGAAAGCCGCACATTTTGCAGTTCAGAATTCAACCAAATAATGTGCACATAAGTTCATATACCAGGTAAAGTGCGCATTAAATGCATACTTTAATGAAATTATTTATTAATGATGAAATTATTGGGAAATATTAATATTAAATTAATATTAAATAAAGGTTAAATTAATATTATTAAAGGTAAAGGGACCCCTGACCGTTAGGTCCAGTCGTGAACAACTCTGGGGTTGCGGTTGCCCATCTCGCTTTATTGGCCGAGGGAGCCGGCATACAGCTTCCAGGTCATGTGGCCAGCATGACTAAGCCGCTTCTGGTAAACCAGAGCAGCGCACGGAAACACCGTTTACCTTCCCGCCGGAGCGGTTCCTATTTATCTACTTGCACTTTGACGTGCTTTTGAACTGCCAGGTTGGCAGGAGCAGGGACCGGGCAACGGGAGCTCACCCCGTCGCGGGGATTCGAACCGCTGACCTTCTGATCGGCAAGTCCTAGGCTCTGTGGTTTAACCCACAGCACCACCCGCACCCCTAAATAAATTAATATTATTAGGGAAATATTTAAAAGCATTTGCAAACTTATGTGGCGAACTGAGTTTAAGACTGGAAAAATGAGAAGCTCCAATTGACTTGACCCCAGCAGAGGACCATCCCCTCATCACAGAGAGACACTTCAGATGTTCTAGAATGAGGCTGATCATGAAACACAAATGCCCTGTACTTCCTGTTTCCTTCACTTCTGTGCGGAAGGGAGGTGGGAAAGATCAATTTTGCATAGTGCAGAGAAGCCCAAGGAACTGAAAGGGTGAGCCACTTCTCATCTCCTCCCCATCCCATCCATTGTATAAGATCCAAAGTCTAAAAGAAACGATGGCCACCAGTCTCCATGCACCTGAGCTTAAGGCAGAGCTTTTGGGTCAAACAATTGTGACCTCTAGGCTGGCTGGAGCCCTGGCATGTTAGACTTTGGGTTGAACTCTAACCAACTGTAAAGCAAATTTGCAGGTACATTTTATATTTTTAAATTCATTCGTTTTACATTTAATCAGCAGGTTACTTATTAGGAAAAACATGCCCAGTTCATGGCCGTGATGTAATTTATCTAAAAATTTGATTAAAGAGTCCCGCCCCCATCCCACCCCCGTGCACACCAACACAACCCAGAACAGCCATTTCAAATGCGACAAGCAAATCATTGGAAAAGGAGGCTTGGCTCAATAAATTCTATGAAGTCTGACCAACCCTGATGTTGTCTGATAAGGCGGCTCGAAGACAAGACAGGCCTATCAATTGAGTCAGGCCAGCTAGCCAGGTTGTCATCTTGAGAAAGTAAAGCCAGGCAATGCAATGGGGGAAGGATTGCATCAGAAGGCAAGCATCCTGACCCTAAGCTTGCTTACTCAGAAGAAGTCGGTTTCAGCCAGTTCAAAAGGACTTACTTCCGAGGAAGTGCTTGCAGGACTGCTGCTTATGTTGAAATAGCTGTATTGGGAAAGTGTGGGACTGGAGATCTGAAGGTCCCTAGAACCTTCCTTTGTTTCAGCAAATTGTATTTTCCTTGTAAAACAAGTTTTTTGAGAGGCAGTGTAGTGTAGTAGTAAGAGGGTTGGACAGGTCTGTGAACAGAGACATCTGCCAGTTTCCTCTTTTCCTCATTTCTCCAGGCTTAAAATCACTTTATTCTATTTGCAAAAATTTCTTTTAAAAATCTGCACAAAAACCCAGATGCATTTTTGTTCTGATTTCTCCAAAAAATGTGTTTTTGTATGCAATTTGACCTCAAGCATTTCCCCTAACATTATGTGTAGCATTGCACATTGTTTTCACTTTTATGTGGAGATATTCCAGTCCATATCTGTTTTGCATTAGAACTTATTTCTAAATATGTTGTGTGTATGTGTGTGTGTGAAATTAGTTTGATAGGTTGTGTAGGAAATGATTTCTAAATGGAAATAAATAGTACATGCATTTTTGTGAACCCTGTTTGGCTGGAGCAGGGCACCACAAAGGCTCACTTCCTGGTTCAGGAAGTACAAATCAGTTGTAGGTCCCCATGAAAATGCGAGCGGAACAAGTTCTTCCCCTATTCCTAGACTGGACATGGTTGGACAGGGCTGCTGAGGCCTAGTTTTAGATCCCCATTCAGGCATAAAGCTCAGGAACGACCTTGAGCCAGTTGTCATCTCTCAGCCTAATCTACTTCAGAGAGGGCAATGGAGGCTGATCTGCTATGTATATGCTTCAGAGAAAAATTGAGGTTTTGCATTCCTGTTTTTCCTTAGGTTTAAAAAATGCTCCGGGAGAACAGGAAGCTGAACCAGATGGGCCCCTGGCCTGACCCAACAGAACCTTCCACTGCAGTCATTATATGATGTACTGTTTATACAAAGGATACCTGTTGTGGAATCACTTTATTAAATACAAAAAGAGAGCAAATGATTGGCCCAAAGTCACACAGTGAGTTTCATGGTTGATTTTAACCCTGACCTCCAAGGTCTGCTTAATACCCACCTTATTCCAAATTTGGGGCGGGGGGGGGGGAGATGTAGAAGTTAATAAGCTGGGGGAGGGGAATGATATTTTTCCGTACATCTGGAAATGGATGGGTTTCCATGTTAAAACAGTCCTTTAAGATTAACCAATTCAAGCTGCAATCCTGTGGATGTGGGTCATGGAATTCAGTGGGGCTTACTTCTGAGTAATGTACAGCATGAAATTGCAACAGGAGGGACCCCTTCTATACCAAAGTAAGGCAATTTTCATTTGAGTCGGGTCGTATTGGTAAATTTTCAGTAGCTTTGCAAGGAAGGGAGAATACCAGAATAACTTAGCTGAACCCTTGTGAGTGCTCATTGGTCACACCCCATGACCTTCAAGCACCGCCCCCCTGCCGCCACCAGCCGCCACTGGCCTAGGGTGCCAAGTGCTGGCACCAGGCCTGTTGGGGGTGCTGAGAAAAAATGTTGCTCCACCATGAGTAGAAGGAGAAAGCAAAGTAACCATCAGCGGAGTGTTTGTGTGAATCAGCCCACATAGACGCACCTCCAGCTAACACAAAGGTACACTAGCCACAGAACACTGTTGTGTGTCCACAACACCGTAAACAAATAGCCCATAAATCATTCCTCCACCAACTTAAAAGGGAGGGAAGCGCAGCCCTTTGTAAAAGCTCGACTTGCCAGCCTTTAATTGACAGAATCCATTAATAATGTTTTCCAGCCGCTCCTCGTTCAGCACTCTAACCCCCTTTTAAAAGTCCTGTCATGTTAAAAATTGACATGTGTTGACTTTGGCCTGCGAAAGCCCGAGTGCTGGTTGTAGGTAGGAACTTTGGGTGTTTAGTCTGGCTTGCATTTTATTTTTCCCTTTCATCAAATTAGTTCAGCTGTAGTTTTTAAAAAAGAGAGAAGAGAAGGAAAACGGCTTTACAATCTGAGGCTCTGGCTCGGGATTGCAGCATCCCACCCCCACACCTTAAAACGCAAACAAAAAAGACGCTTACAAATGTTGCGTGATGCATGCATAAGAATGGGAAATGGCCAGCCATGAGAGAAAGGGAGGCACGTGAACCTGACTGCGTGGAAGCAACACCTCTTTTCAGAGAAGTGTAGGAGACTCCATTTCCCTAATGCACAACTGTCACTGTTTGTTTTAAAAACCTGAGGGCACTTCCTAGCCAAACCAAAGCACTTTGAAGTCCCGTTGGTTTCCGTGGAGAGATTTAATCTCATATTTAATTTTCCCATTGAAATCCATGAAGGGGCGAGGCGTGTGCAATTAGGCATAGTGTGGAGAGAGTGGATAGGGAGACCATTTTCTCCCCCTCTCATGATACTAGAACTGTCGGCCATCCAAGGAAGCTGAGGAGGATTCGGGACAGAAAAAGCAAGCAGATTTTCTCGAAGCACATGGAACTTGGTCCCACAGGACGCAGTGATGGCCACCAGCTTGGATGGCTTCGAAAGAGGGTTAGACAAATTCATGAATGATCTCGATGGCTGTGTTCGTCCTCCAGTTTCAGAGAAAACAGGCCTCTGAATACCAGTGGCTTGGAATCACAAGTGCATGGGAGTTCTGTTGCACAAAGGTCCTGAGTGTGGGATCTCTATGGGCATCTGATTGGCTATGGTGAGAACAGGATACTGGAAAAGGTGGATTTTAGGTGTGATCCTGCAAGGCTCTTATGTTCTTAATACTAGTTCTCTTTGCAGCAGTGAATGAACCCATGACATAATTTGTTTTAGTCTATTCTATTGTGGTTTAAACTTTCTGTATGTTTTAAATTATAGTAGTGATGAATTTATTGTTTTATCTTTGTTTGTAAACTTTTAAGGGTTTTTTTTCTACCAGCAATTGGTATATAATTTTTTATGAAATGCATATATAAAATAGATCACTTAAATTAATGGGAGGAATTCAGTGGTTGGCATCCGTCTGTCTTGGGAGACAATGGAGAAGTGCACCCTTTGGGCGTGAAATCAAACTATTGGAAAATTACAGCGCCTGCTGTGGCTGTAGAAACACATGCAGGAGAGACATGTTTTGTCGCAGCCGAGACAGATGAAGGCATCCGGTTATGCTGATGCAGATGCACCATGGCGTTTCTTCTCTCTGTACTCTTCCCAGCGGTCATTCCTCCTCTGGTCATTGCTGTGGACGTGTGATCTGACTGTTTGCCTCCAGGCACTGCAGTCATCTGCAAGGGATTCCCACACGGTGGGGATGTTCAATGGTAGCATTAAGGAAATGGCTCTGTCAGCCCGAGCATTTCTGCTTGCCTAATAGAACAGTCTTCTCTCTCCCTTCATGTGCTGATCTGGGTTTTTCCAAACCCCCACAGCCAGAATCATTTGGAGGGCACAGGAGACACAGAGGGGGAAAAGCAGGGGGAGTTCTGTTGGGCTGGCAGAAATCATTGCATGGGCTTCTACTAGTGGGACTGGTTGGTCGAATCAGGAGAGAATCAAGGTAGATTAGGTACAGGTACACTTATTGAAAAAAAGGTGTGCCTTGTATTATTTACAGGGATTATTAAAATAAATCAAGGGTGTTTGGCTGTAATCCTTAAACACATTTACTTAGCAATAAGCCACATTGAATTCAATAGGCCTTGCTTCTTTAAAAAATAAATTGAATATTTCTTAATTTTACTTGTCAGAAAATTTAAAAATAAAATAAAGCAGATGAAAAGGGTGAGTTACTAGCACAACAGGTTTATGGCAACTTAGTGACTAAACATACTGAATGGAAATTCTGAGTACTTGAGAATATAAGATGAGCCTGGCTGGATCGGACCCATGGCCCATCTAGTCCAGCATCCTGTTCTCACAGTGGCCAACCAGATGTGGGGGAAGCTTGCAAGCAGGAACTGCAGATTAACATGCATAGGATCTCACTGATAATTTTAACGAATTTTTATTTCTGCTGAATATTGAAGTGTATGGCAAATAACATTTAGGGTACGATGGCGACAGTGTTATTTTTAGCTTATTTTTAAATAGGATCTGATTAATTGGATTATTTTATGCTATTGTAAACCACACGACACATGATTCAGCCAAAGTTAATGTCACATTGGTTTTAATGGGAGAGACGGAAGCATGTGCTTAACTTGCCACTTGAAATCTGAAGGACTTAAAAGGGCTTAATTTTGGTAGGTTGTGTCCGTATAATTTTTGTGAAATATGTGGAAGTGTATTAAAATAAATAAACTGAGGAAATTATCTGAAGTATATTTATCTGTATTTTAAAGTTTGGCATCTCAGTATACTAACTAATATTTTATTTTTTAATGAATAAGTTGAGATCTAACCTTCTTTGGCAACTTTTAAGCAATTGACAGTGTAAACCTTATATGATCTCCTTTATCATTTGCTCTATGTGATCTGCATATGTGAATTCTTTTATTTTTGTTTGAATTTGTCTTGATTTCCATATATTGAACTCACGTTACCAGTGAAATTTCTATATCATATTTGGATAGGGTTGGGTTTTTTGTTTTACATCTTAGTTCTTTTTTTTCTTTTCTTTTTTAAGAAAAGCTTGGCTTTTAAAAAAGTCGATGGGCTCATCCATACTACTCTTTAATGTGGATAGTAAGCTTCTTGTACCTCCCTCAAATTTCCGCTGGTCATATGACATTCTCCTCCAAATCATTGCCTCCCATAGCTTTTGCCTCCCTCAGTCTGGATTTTCTTATATCTTCCCCTTTTCAGAGTATCCCTGGTATGACAAAATCCGAACTGAGGGAGGGGAAAGTGAGGGAAGGCAATAAATTGACCAATGGAGAATTAATGGAGGAAGAGGAAGCTTTTGAAGGTGCCTGCTCTTTTTCGTAGGTACTTATTTTCTGACGCTCATAAGGTATAAAATGGGTACATTTCCCCTGCAAAACCATTTGGATATCAAAAGTGGGGTTTAATATGCTCATTGGGACCTTGGAAAACCATTTCCTAATCTTCTTTGTGGAGCATTCCACAAAAAGGACACGTTGTGATAAACACAGGACAGCTGATCTCTCTGTAACATGTAGTAAAACCTACCAGGTTCCTCATATTACACTGATTGTCTCCATCCCTACCCACTGTCACTGGTGGCAATGCATGGGCAGGGCTAACCCTTTCACTAGGAAGAGTGGCAGCCGCCTCAGGTGTCCAGTTCTGGGCACCACAGTTCAAGAAGGACACTGACAAACTGGAACGTGTCCAGAGGAGGGCAACCAAAATGGTCAAAGGCCTGGAAACGATGCCTTATGAGGAACGGCTAAGGGAGCTGGGCATGTTTAGCCTGGAGAAGAGGAGGTTAAGGGGTGATATGATAGCCATGTTCAAATATATAAAAGGATGTCACATAGAGGAGGGAGAAAGGTTGTTTTCTGCTGCTCCAGAGAAGCGGACACGGAGCAATGGATCCAAACTACAAGAAAGAAGATTCCACCTAAACATTAGGAAGAACTTCCTGACAGTAAGAGCTGTTCGACAGTGGAATTTGCTGCCAAGGAGTGTGGTGGAGTCTCCTTCTTTGGAGGTATTTAAGCAGAGGCTTGACAACCATATGTCAGGAGTGCTCTGATGGTGTTTCCTGCTTGGCAGGGGGTTGGACTCGATGGCCCTTGTGGTCTCTTCCAACTCTATGATTCTATGATTCTATGATTCTAAGAGATGCTAGAGGGCAGGCTGTGTTGGAGGACAGAGCTGTGTCTGCCCTATGGCTTGCCCTGTGCCCCTTAACCTAGTCTGTTGCCCTCAGGTACAGAGAGGAGCGCTGAAGCAAGAGTCTTTGTGTGGAATGAGAGGAGAGGGGCGCTATCTTTTCCTTCACCTCAGACAGCAGAGCATCTTGGCCTGACACTAGAGGAAATCCACAGCATGATGAAATCATTTACAGAGAGAAAAGCCATGGCACAGGCTGACATTTTGGCAGCAGCCCTCTGTTTATTTACTACTTTATCTATTTCCATTTCTGAATGGCTTCCTATGAAACATTGCTGTTAAATAAAAGCATCAACAATTAAAACATATATAAGACAATGTCATGCATAGGAACAATTTCAAATCCATTGCATACTGGGATAAAAATATGCACTTAAAAGGTTGCTTGAGAAAGGAATGACTTCAATGGGTGCAAAAAAAATAAAAAATAGAGATGGCACCTGTGTGATATGTTGTGGGAAAGCCTGATTCCAACATTCATGGAATCATAGAACTGCAGAGTTGGAAGGGACCCCGAGGGTCATCTAGTCCAACCCCCTGCGAAGCAGGAATCTCAGCTAAAGCATCCATGACAGATGGCCATCCAACCTCTGTTTAAAAACCTTCAACAATCCATCACTTCTCATGAGAGTCTGTTCCACTGTCAAACAGTTCTTACTGACAGAAAGTTCTTCCTGATGTTTAGTCTGAATTTCCTTTCTTGTAACTTGAAACCATTGGTTTGGGTCCTACCCTCCAGAGCAGGAGAAAACCATCTTCCATGTCATAGAATCATAGAATCATAGAATCATAGAGTTGGAAGAGACCACAAGGGCCATCGAGTCCAACCCCCTGCCGAGCAGGAAACACCATCAGAGCACTCCTGACATATGGTTGTCAAGCCTCTGCTTAAAGACCTCCAAAGAAGGAGACTCCACCACACTCCTTGGCAGCAAATTCCACTGTCGAACAGCTCTTACTGTCAGGAAGTTCTTCCTAATGTTTAGGTGGAATCTTCTTTCTTGTAGTGACATTGTATGGAATGAATCTCCTGATGAGATGTTACCAGTGATCAGTTGGGCATACAGTCATACCTAGGATCTCAAACGCCTTGGTACTCGTCCGTTTTGGCTCCCAAACGCCGCAAACCTGGAAGTGAGTGTTCCGGTTTGTGAACGTTTTTTGGAAGCCAAACATTCAACACAGCTTCCGCAGTTTCTGATTGAGTGCAGGAAACTCCTGCAGCCAATCGGAAGCGTGCCTTGGTTTTCGAATGCTTCCAGAACAGATTCCGTTAGAGAGCCAAGGTATGGCTGCATAATGATATTTTAGGTATCCTTTTTATCATTCAATGTGGTTTATCCCTGAAGACCCAGCTCTTGCTTTTTCCCTTTCCTTCCTTAACTGATGAGCAGCCACCCTGCAAGCCCTCACTTTTGTGGGCGACCCCTTGCTGATAGCACTTTAATTTAACGTGTGCATGCCAGGGCCCAAGTGATGTCATATTAGTTTAGGAAGCGTAGCCTGTGTTGTGCGGGCAGCTTAACTGGTCTGAAAGTTGTGTGGTTCAAGCAAACAGCAGGATTTATGTTACGCATGTCCTGTTCTTCCCAGGCAAGCCAGAATATCTGCGTAGTGATGGCTGGGAGGATACAGGTTGCTATTTTAGAGCCAAGTGGAATGGCGTTTCTGAAACTTCAGGAAGTTAATAACATGCTCATGTCATCGTGCTGCCGCTTTCAAATTGAATCCTTCTCTTCTCGGCTCAGGGGAGATGAGAGATTCCGTCACAGAAAGCAGAGTTGGAAATAACAATGGAAAACCCCGGTGAGCAAATGACCTTGGAAAGGAGGGCGAGACCAGACTGCTAGCAACCCACCTCTTGCGAGGGAACATGGAGGACCAGATAGGCCCGCTGGCTCCTGCTTGAACCCAGAGGTCAGTACAAGATGCTGGCTTTAAAATGCTGGGGCTATAAAGAGGATCTGACAAAGGAGGAGGTCACTTAAGAGATTAAAAATGCACAGACAGTTTTGCAGCCCCATTCATTCCTCAGTGTTTCGTGAGTGAAGATCTTTTCACATATCTCTGAATGCCAGTTGTCTCAGGAAGTGATGTAGCATCTCTTTGGGTCTAAGAGTATATGCCACCACAATCTCCAAGCGATGCAAGATCCCAGGGGTTCCAGGGGCTGACCCAGGGTTTGTGTTACCTTTGGAAATGAGGCACAGCAGAGACTGTGGTGTCTCTATGAGATATGGTTTATTACACATATAAACAACTTGAGCCTATGATGCAGGGGTTCACAGTGTTACAACCCCAAAAGGATCTTGTTTCTGCCAGGCATTCTTCTCCCAGTTTGCTGCTTTATATCTAGCTTCTAGTTCACATCACTTCACTCTCTGCTCTGAACTCTCGCTTTGTCCTTCTAACTACCTGGAGTTGAGGGAGTTCGCCCCAATCATTTACTGTCTCACACAGAGCCTCTTTCCTTTGTCCCCCTTAATGGCCCATCACCCATGCGATCACCTCATCAGGAGGCTAGCCTGACTTATACAGGGTGAGTCCTTTAAAAGAGGCCCCATGGATACAGCGTACACATGTTCCACGGGGCCTCTTTTAAAAGACTCACCCTGTATTTTAACACTTGCTGGATCCAGGGGTTAGAAGGGTCTCGGCATACAGCCTAATGCCCCAAACTCAAAACAGTACATCTATTCAAAAGTAAGCCCTCTGTCTTTCTCTAGGCCTCTCTCAGGTACTCTTAAAAAGAAGAAAGTCTCAGGGTGCTTTCAGATGGTGTTTATTATAAGACAGGTTTTTTTAAGCCTCAATACAATGTAGAAATCAAAATGCCAATCTGTATCCTTCCCACACATTTTATCCAAATTTACCCTTTCAATGGAAAATAAATAAAACCCGTTGTCAACTACCTGTTTCAGACCCCTCAATCACTGATTTACAATATTAAACATCTGGGAACGCGCTCAATTCACACAGAGAGTGTGGGGTGATATCATACCCCTCACAGGGCGGGGGGGGGGGGTTGCAGGAGAAAAGACATGCCCCCTTGCAGAAAGAATCTCTAGCCATTTCTTTAGTTCTGCAGTGGCCAGCCATTCATGCCCACCAGCAGCAGTTTCTTCTGGTGACAGAAAATTGGCCAGGCCATGCTTGCCCAACCAGTTTGACTGTCAATAGCAGGGTTGTTTTTGCTGTTTACAACCAGAGTTCTTAAGAGATAATTCAGAGCAACACCCATAGTGTGTGTGTGTGTGTGTGTGTGTGTGTGTGTGTGTATATATATATATATATATATATATATATATATATATATATATATGGAACGTTACAGGGTGACCTTCTGGGTGACCTTACAGGGGGCCACATGATAGGTAAGGCCAGAGACAAACATGGGTGGAGGGATTAATGTAAATTTGACCTCTGTACAGTAGATTTTCTACACACATTCACACTCCCCTCACAATTCTTCATCCAGGCCAGCTGGACAAAAACATTCAAGGAGGTAAGGGGTGTGGCCTAGAGAGGGATTGGGGAGTAGTTTCCAGGCCTGAGGTTGCCTACCCACCCATTCTGGGCTCTATTTCTATATAGCTCTCTGTCTCCGTATATACATATTTACACACACACACACACACACACACACACACACACCTGGCTAACCTTCTTCTCTAGCCAAGCAACCCATCCACATGCACAAGAACCCTGTGTTGAGATGAAGGATGAAACATTTTTAAACAGCTGCCTTTGTAGCATGAGCAAAATCAAATCAAAAACGTGTCAAAATACCCTTTAAAAAAACCTTCAGTTTCCCAACACTGTAAGACTTTAATGCCTTTGGCCTAAGGCAGATTGGAGCATGTGTGTGTGTGTGTGTTGTTTGTTTCCTGCAAAGGCCAGGAGAGCCTATTGGATTACAAGGCAGAACAGTGCAAGAATCTGCTCTCTAAAGGGTCAAGGTGTTTCCCTAATCAGGATCACTTTAAATCTGTCTCTGGATTATTAGTCCTGCCCTGTCTGCTGCCTGCGGAGGAGGAAGAGAAAGGAGCAGCAATTCCTGCAGGGCAGAGGGCACCAGCCCAGTCAGCTAGACAGGCCCGTGGGGTGACTGGATGACTGTGGGAATGATCAAAGAGCTACACAGCTTTCTTTGGTTCCCCTTTTGCTATCTGAAAGCATCATATTAAATATTGATGCTGCACACTGAATAACCTATTCGATTCAAACTAATCAGGGGGTTCTCCCCATCCTTTAAAAATAACAATAAATTGGGGAATCAAGGTTTTTGACACAGTTGAGGGCAAGGATCGTCCTTGAATCTTCCTGCCACACTTGCCGTCCTCTCCTGCCACACCAGTGCGGCATGCCATACCCATAGACTGCAGCAGAGGATCCAGACACCCTTCCTTTGCAGTGCTTTGACCACAAGGATACTGTAGCTTATCCCTACTCCTGAGTCCTGTCTTTCTCTTAAGCACAAACTCGAAACAAAGAAATGAAACATGCAAGCATATGCACATTTAACATTTATATGGATTTGAAACTGATGTGCCTGCCCATCCCTTTCCCCAAAAAGTACTGGGAACTGTAGTTATGGGAGGGGGCTAAGAGCTATTTGTTAGAAAACCCCAGTAAGCTTTCACAGAATGACAGTCCCCTATGTAGGGAAGAACAACAGTGAAATGCATGTGGAACAGATTTAGAATCCTCAGTCACTGCCTCTCCCCAGCAGGCCACCACTGTATACCCTCCAAGTGCCCCAATTTTCCAGGGACAGTTCCAGAATTACAAAAGCCACCCTAGCTTCTGATTTGATCCTGGAATGTCTATATTTCCCCTGCCAGTGCCAAGCTCAGGAAGGAGGATGAGCCAGCTATTGTCCCAAGTGATGGCGGTAGTGGCGGCAGTGGCTGTGAGGGAGTAATCCATGGCCTCTCCATGGCCGCTGCTGCCAGCCTCCTCCCTAGGGAGTATAACAATAAAACCATGAACAGGATGGTGATGCAATGACTACTACAATCGAAACAAGATGATATCATCCAGGCAACTATCTGTAAACAAACAATAAACGTCCATAAAAATGGCAAAAGTAGTTTCTTTCCCAAATAATTTTTATCTTAAACAATAGCAAACACAAGTAAATAAAGAGTTCACTTGTGATATACCAGTGATTCAGTGCTCATTTCTTCTCTTTCCAAAATAGATTTTATCTTGAACCATTGCAAACGCAGCAACAAAGAGTCCACTTGTGATATACCAGTGGTTCAGTCTCGGACGTCGTACCGGTAATCTGACGTTTCGTCGCTAAAGAGCTTAGTCATTGAGCTTTGTGGTAAATAATATACAAGAGAAGACAGTATGTAAACGACTTAAAGCAGGGGTATATCTGTCCCCATTTGCATGTTTCCATCGGGAGGAGCATAGAAAGAGGACAATGTCCTTCTGTTTGTTAAATCCCCTAGGAGGTCTTCTTTTGTATATTGTCAATCAGCCAAAGGCCTGGTTAAAGTAGAGCATTTTTGCCTGGCGCTTAAAGGTGTATAATGAATGCCCCGGGAAAACCCACTGTTTACCACTAAATCAGAACTAGCATCAATCCACAGAAAATCTGATTGGTGTTCATTCCAATTCGACTGTAAACACCAGGCTTTCCTATGGAAGGCAGCAGGACAAAAGAGATGCCTCTTGGATCCATCTGCACCAATCCCTGGTAAAAAAAAGCCAGGTTTTATGAAGTCATCTCCAAAAGGAAGGAATTCTGGGAACTTTTTGGCCACACTACCAAACATGGCATGCTGGGTAAATGAGCATCCCAAATTCCTGGAAGCTTCTTTTAAAATGTCAGGAGTCTAAAGGTGACATTTCTACAGAGCTAAGCATGTTTCTATAGCTGTGGGCTTTGCAGGCCTGTCCGTGAGAGTAAGCGGTGAGCAGAATTGTGACCTGGGCCGAGCATCAAGGGAAGGAGATTGCAATAGGCAAGTTAAATATAATGCTGCTCAGTAATTTTCTCCTTTCCAATTCTGCACGAGCCCTTAGAGCTAGCATGGATTTGACAAAAAGGAGGGGGGGAGTTGGGAAGGAGGGGAAATGGGGAGAGCTTTCCAATTCCGCTTCTTAAAATTGAAGCCTACAAGGCAGATAGCTGTAGCAGGGATTGAACCTTACGCTCCGTAACTGTGGCCTCGCATTTACCGGCTGTAAAGCCTAAGACAGTCCATGTCAAGTGAGCAGCACACAAGGACCACAGGGCTGCTGCTGATGTTGCAATTCAAGGAAAGCAGAAAATCCAGCAATCAGGTAGGTCTAAGAAGTCACTCGAGCCTCTCTGACATTGATGATGCCTGACTCCCTGTAACCGCTCCTTTTGCTGCTTATGTCTTGCTTGCTAAAGAATTCTCTGCACTACGTTCACTGGCTGCAGACTAGCGGGGTATTCAAAGCCTACGGCTGAAGGGACCTGTGAAAATCAGGGGCAGACCTACCAGGCCTGCAGCCCAGTCTCTCCCCACCACCACCTCCCCACTGCTAACCAAGACAGAGTTAATATTTTGAGAGAAGCGGAGCCATCGGAAAGCACCCTTACCGCATTCAGTGTGAACATTATGCTTCCTAGTAGGAATGAGCTCTGGAAATTAAGTTCTGCAAGTTTTCAGCATGTTTGCTGTCGAACTGGGGCACGGCTTCCGCCAAGTCAAGTGACTGGTGATGGCTTCAGACCACCCTGGATCAGGTTGCCTGGAGCAATCAGGGGCTGTTCCAGGAAGAAGAGGCAGGCAGACCCAGTGCATTTCACACTGTGAACATATCAGGGAAGCAGGCCCCAGCAGGATGCAATCTTGCTGGCTGCAAGGGTGCTCCTTCAACCAGAACCCTTGGGATCCCTTCCCAACCCTACAGTTCTAGGGCAGATGCTTGCAAAGCAGCACCCAATAGGGCCAAACCCTCCTGCTCTCAGTCAGGAGGGGGATGAAAAGGGAAGCAGAGCCTCCTACTTTCCCTCCTCCGGACCCTCAACAAACATTAGTGCCGAACCCAAATTGCTCTGTGGCCAGATGGTCCCAGAGTGGCAAGCTGGGGGGCTGTGTACCGCCCTAATAAAATATGTACATAATAATAAATATAGGTATGCCTTACATACATCAATATATGTAAGGTGAGTTGAGAAGCTAGGATCACACCAGCCACTGTTGAAAACTTACATCTGCCACAAGGGTGTTCTCCCCCTTTGTGTTGGTATCATAAAACTTGGGAAATTCCAATAAAACTCACACATCTGCACCCCCAGAGGCTTCCACTGGTGCCAATAGGGTCCCACCCCCTGCTGAAATTAGGCTTGAAGGAAGCAGGCCATTGTAGCCATTTGAATAATTTTTTTGGGGGGGGTGTTGTAGTGCCTGGGCAGTTCCTTCAGTTTGCAGAAGTGGCCACAGGCCCACCAAAGGTTGCCGACCCCCTGCACTAGGTTAAAACCACAGGAAATCAGGCACATGCTGCTGATTTTCTGGTTACTTGATTGGGTCCTTTGGT